ATCTTATTCTTGCTTTCTAACATCGAATAAGCAAAAATCACAATTTATTTTATCCAATGAGTAAATAATTCAACGTGTCAAAATTAATTTAATTATTTTAAATAATTTATAATTTTATAATATAAGAACTATGTGTGTTTTCTTACCGCTGTCTTAACATCTTGTGTGACTTTACATTCGTGTAATGTATTTTGGTGTTATTATGTTTCAATTTTTATTTAATTTAAAATGTGTCACTTATTATATTCTTATCGTGCATTCACGAAAAATATTACGATAGACCAATTCAGTTATATTTAATTATTAAACTTATTCTCCCAAAGTAGTATGTTAAAAAGTGGTCGATTTTTACTTCTAAGCCGGCATGTAAAGTATGCATGGTTTCTTATAATATTTGTGACCGTAGAATCACGTGGTGATATCTGTTTGCTACCAAAGTGTGGGAAAAATGGATACAAACCCCAAAGATGAGCCACTTATGAACTTCATTTTTCTTTCCATATGCATGCAGTATGACTCGTCACAAAATGCTTTGATAGCAAACGGCAATATAGAATCACTACGTGATTCTACGGCAAAAAAAAAATATTAGAAACCATGCATATGCCGGCTTACGGGCAAAAATCGGCCACTTTTTAACTCCTTTCAATTTATACTCCTTTATACTCCTTTCAATTTAGTGAAGAAGACTCAGTAAAATTTAAACATTTACTTTATATCTATTTTTATTATAAATAAAGTTTTGTATTAGTATGATACCTTGATGTATAAATTTTTATCATTGGCCCATTATTCTCTCATATTGCTTTGCATAAAACGAGCCTAATATTTTAATAATTACTAATGTGATTTGTCTATTAGAATCTAGTTAAAAAAATTAGACAAACATTACTAAACATTTTTATTTTGTTATTGTTCTTAATTTATTAATTACTTATTAGAATATTAAACATTTTGCATTATCATTAAATGTGTACCCTTCACTAAAATCTGTAATAATTACAGATAAATGTTATTCTTCGCAATAATAAAATTAAATCATAAAATACAATGTTAAAATTAATAATAACATTTATGATAAAATACAAAACAATATCAATAATAAAATAAATACGAAATCTTCGTTATTTATCATTTATTGTTGTGTAATGGTTGTATGCTTGTTCGTAGATAATAATACAAATTCGGGAAGAAAATGAGCCTTTGGGTGCCCCACTACTCGCTCATCCACGATATTATTGTTTGGAGCATAAATGCTACGTTATTTTGGGTGGACTTGGCGGATTTGGTTTAGAGCTAGCAGATTGGTTGACTCTTCGAGGTGCAAAAAATCTGGTATTAACATCACGAACCGGGATCAGAACAGGTTATCAGCAATCAAGAGTAGAGCTATGGCGATCTTACGGTGTGGATGTACGGATCGTTACAGTCAATGATACTTTGAAACATGAAGATTGTGAATCTATATTAAAATTTGCTGAGGATAGAGCACCAGTGGACGCTATATTTAATCTTGCAGTTGTATTAAAAGATTGTATATTCCAAAATCAATCACCGCAAACGTTCGAAGATTCATTCAAGTCGAAAGCATGGATGACGAAAAAAATGGACGAATTGTCGAGGAAGAT